TCTTTTGTATAATATTTTATATAATATAATATGATTTTATAGTAATAATTAACTTATTTTTAGTGAGGATCACCATAAATTCAAATCTTTAAACAAATAAAAGAGACTTACAAGACAAGAGAATTATTTTATTTTAAGCGTATAGTTTATTTAAAAATTTTAAACATACAATAACTTTAAATATAATGATTTGTATGAATAAGAGTGTTATATTTTTTTAGGTTAGATTATACAATAAAAATATAATTTAGACACTAAAATTATTGAAACATTATTCATAAACATAATTAAAAAAAGTTTCATAAAAATATTTTAATAATTTTTGTGTACAATCTGACCTCAAAACACACTTTTTTATAATCTAATGTATTATTTTATAATTAAATTTTTTATTTTAAGTGTCACTTGTAAATTAATATACAACCATTGATTTAATAACACCATATTCTTGCCTTTAAAAATAACCACACCATTTTTTTTTTTTTAAGTTTGTACGGTCCGTGTGTCTGAGCCTCAGGCAAAGGTTTTATTCATGTTAAAACTTTTTTTTTTTCTTACGGATACAATTTGGGGTAATTAGATGGGGAATGGCATGATATTATTTTGTCTTGAATTTTAAGTATTATTAAAATATTAAATGTATCTAATAATAATTAAAATAATTACTTTCCAAGCAATTTTAATAATACAATCTCATATCATATCATACAATAAAAAAATGAGTGACCTTTAAAAAAAATTGAGTGACACCATCAATTTGTTAGTTCAAATACTAAAAATTTAATTTTTTAAATAAAATTTTAATTTTAAATCTTATTTTTAAGTTAAATTTAATTAAATTTTAAATTAAGTAAGATTTAATATAATTTTTAAATTTTGAAAGATTTATTAAAAAAAAAGAGTGACTTAAAAAAAACTCTAAACTTGACTTGACTTTTTAAGATTTTATTTATTCACTGGTGGAATTAACCACACCTCATCGGACAAAATAATGGGGCATAGTCAATAACAGGAAACAAAATGTAGAATTGTCAATTATGAGAAAAAATTATATATAAATACGCCCCCACGAGTCCAACCTCAATATTGCCAGTTGAGAAAGTAGACCGGTTATTATTATTATCATTTTTTAAATGGCCGCCAGTGTTTTGTGTAAAAAATTTCTCAAAATAAAATATAGACAAAACAAAACTGTCCAGCCCTTGCACATTCTGAGAAGATTCAATTTAGCTCTGTTTTTTTGGGTTATTACAGAATAAGTAGTTCAGGTCTGTCAAGGAAAAAATGTGAGGAGAGAGAGTTCAGCTTTAGACTTTTGCCATGAGAGTGTGGAATTTTTTTTTTTTTTATGTTAATGATAAAATCACTTCAATTATTAAAATCCTCTTCACTTTAGCTCTTTTACATTTTTACGTTTTATAGTAGAATTTTACATTTGTAGTAATCTAGATTTTTTTAAATCCAATTTAATTTTACCTAAATAGATAAATCTTTGAAAAAAATAATAGTTTCAAATCTATTTAATGAGAGATAGCCTTCAATAATGATTATGATTGTAATTGAATATAGTTTAAATTGTAAATACTTTTTTCTAAAATAAATAAAAAAAATCACAAGAATGAGATTTTTTTTGGTTGTGTCCCATTGTATAAGTAATCAAATTCATCTTCTTAATCCTTTTCTCCTCAATGAAAGTAAGGAATTTTGTTTTTCTTCCCCATTCGTCCCTTTTCTAGTTTTGTACGAAGAGTAAAGGCAAAAGAAAAGAGGAGCTAAAAAGGAAGAAGCATGGCCAGGGGAAAAATAATACAAAGAACAAAAAAAAAAGAAAAAAAGACCATATCCAAGTGGGTGAAGAGGGAAGATAAGAGTAAAGATTAGAGAGGACAAGAAAATCAATGGTGGGAAAAAGGAAGAAGAACGGAAATCAGAGAGATGTGGACGGAGGGTACTAAGTAAGACTTGCTAAAATTTTAAAAGTTTGGAGAAAGATCATGCCCGAAACCACCACCTATATAGAGACACATAATTTCAAGAATATGTACAAGTGTGTGTATCCATGATTGATGCATCATATATCTTTTATTTTAGTTTCAAACAATTATGATTGATTAGATAGTGATCACAAGTTTATAAATTTTGTTTCAAACATGGGCTTTGTGGATTTGGGACCAAAAGAATTTTAAATTTTAGCATTTCACTTTAATTTTATTTTTATCATTATGCCATTGAAATGGTAAAGGCACTTAGGACCAAAAAGAACTTTAAGTTTTATTATTACAAATTTCCCATTTTGCTATTTTAAATTAATCATTTTTAGATGGGTTCTATTTCATTAGAGGTGGGATTATTGAGATTGAGAATTTTAGTGAATTTATAAGATCTATATTTTAATGTTAAAAAAGTAAAGTACAATTCGCTTAATTATTGATAAAGCAAAAAAATCTTTTAATATTAAAGACTTATCCTTTTATTAATAATTAAAAATAATACAATTCACATAAGATGTTTTTAAATATATAATATTACTTCGTTTAACTATTGATGGAGATACTGTACCATAATCAAATCATACTATTTTATGTTTTAGTAAGTGATTTTAACAACTATGGTCCTCATCAACTGTTGGTGCCCCACTTACCTAATGCCCCAATCTCATGCGGATGTGAACGGCGAGATTGGTTGCGAAAATAAAGTGAGGTCAACTTGAAAGTTCTTTTTTTTTTTTTTTCTTGCAATAGTAACTATTACACCAACCTAAAGGGAAAGGTGAAAGGAAGCTAGGTTTGAAAACCAAACTTAGTGGTGCCTCCACTAACCAATAACTAATCACTCTATAGCATGAGTAAGACTAGCTACTTGAAAGTTTAAACTTAAAAAAAAGTAAATGTTAGGCCTTATCTTGCTTTTAAACATCCATTTCAACATTATTGTGTATTTAATATGATATAAAATCACGTATTTTATATTTCTCATTTAATTTATCCTTTGGTATTATACTTGCATATTTTTGTTGAAAGACCAAGGGAAGTGGTCCAAGCTCATTGAAGGAAGGGAAGCACGGGTTCAAACCATTCTCATGAGGTGTGGAAGTCTTTTATGAAGTGACAGCCACAGTAGGAAAGTTTCTTTAGGGACTCAATTGTCATGAAATTTACTAGGGACACTTAATTGTAGAAATTGTCTTAGTTTAGGTGCCAATGTCGGTGTGGTTCCTACTTCATCATCCCTCTAAAATTTGTACCTCTTTGGCAAAAAAAAAAAAAATTGTTTGTAGTTTGTATCTCCAATTTTAAAATTAAAATTAAAATTAAATAAATAAAGAGGGAAAGAAACAGATAAACCACCAAAGTCACAGACTCACAGGAACTTTTTAACTAAAATTCCTCACTTTCTATTGGCAGCCTCTTTACTTTTTCACTGTTCATCTCTCATTCCAATTCTTCCCCAAACCCTTCGCATTTACCCTTTTCAATCTCTTAATGTAAAATAAAATATAAAACAAACCCAAATCGAAAAAACAAATCTTGCAAATCCCCATTTCTCTGGTAGTTGAGTTCCTTGCTCTGGAGGCCAAAATGGGTGCACCAAACGGAGACCCAGATCGGCAACCTTGCGGCCAAGGCCATGGAGTTTGAGCACGACCCAGATGCTGCATTATGGGAAAGGGTGACGAGGAGCAGAATGTTGGCGGCAGTAGTGGTAGTGAGGAGACGGGGCAGAATGTGGAGCCGAGATTGAGGTGTGTTGGGTCTCGATGGAGAAGGCTCGTTGGGCTCAGATGCTTCTTAATAGTGCTGTTGTCGCTTGGAGTTTTCCTCTCTGCTTTGTTTTGGTTGCCTCCTTTTCTTCGGTTCGCAGATCAAAGGGATCTGGATCTTGATTCTAGGTTTAAAGGTGTGCTTTTTTTGCTTTTAATTTTGTTGTTGTGGTTTTTGAGCTAATGGGTTCTTGCATTTTTGTGATGGGCATGAATCTGAGAAATTTTTAATATTTTATTTTGTGGGTTATTTTTGGATGATCAGTTTTTGGTTTGTTTGGTCGTAGAGAAAATGTCTGAATAGAGCAAAAACGTGGTAGAATTTTCTCATGATTTTCCTGGAGGCAAATTCATCGATTTATCGTTGTTTCTTTAAGAAAATTGTTTTGGAAATTGTTAATCTCCTACTTCTTTTTGGGAATTTTGATTGCTGTGAAAATGCAGGAAGAGAAACGTATATAAATTCTGGAACTCTTATTTCAGATTTATGACCATATTATAATTTTTATTTGAAAATTCGAATTTACTTTGTTCCCCTACATTTTTAGGCAATTATGAGAAGATTCGTGAAAATCTAACGGTAGCTTATTTTGAGCATTTCTATTTTTGGGAATTGGGTTTTGATTCTTCATTTAGTTATTGGCCTCTGACCAGTGATTTCTGCATTGCCTAATTTATTTGTAGGCCTATGAATCTATTTTTGTATATCTGTTAGTATGCTATATTTGTAGATTTTTTTATGGTAAAAATGAATGAGTAATCCTGAATGGTAGGTTTTTTATCATTAAAATATTAGAATTTGGGGGAGGATTTTACCCTTATTCAATACAATCCCTCCTTTGATTTGGATAGAAAATTATGTGGATCAAGTTTCCCATTTTTTAGACTCCATTGTGTTGAGGCTGCCAGCAAACTTAGTTCTGTTCATGGCAGTTTTGTTGGGGCTTTTATGTAAATAACTGACATTCTTAAAGCTGAAGTTTTCTATCAGGTCTTGTAAAACCAATATTGGACAGTTTATGGAGTGCTAACATAGTAACTTATATATACAATGCATGGGATGTTATTACTGAGTTTTGGTTTTACAATGGAATGCTGCTGCTATTTCCAGCTTTTCTATTTGTCCCTGCTTCAGCGTATTTATATGCACTGAAGTTCCTTGTCTCCTTTGTATCTTTGCCTTTAGGAATGTGCTGATATACAGAGCTCAAATTCTTGTTTGTAGAATTACTTTCTTATATTTTATTGGCTCTAGTTTTCATCGCAAAATGATAATTTATTGATCCAATTCGTTATGATTCCAACAATAACTGATTATAGAAAGAATTAATGCTGAAGGCCTATGTATGCATGTATCATATAACCTAAGAACAATATCCCTACCTTATTTGGGAAAAATTAAATAAAAATGTAAATATCACAGAATAAGCTTTGAACAGTTTCTGGATGTCTGAACCATTTACTGCTAATTTGTATTGGATTTAGATGCCACTTTAAGTTCAACTGGAAGAAAGCCCCTAGCTCTTTTTGTCTTTTTATTATTAGAAAATCTTGTGTGATGTATTGCCTTCATCATATATCCTGTATTTTGTTATCTGTGAATCTTCATTGCATAGTTGTAGTATTTTTTGGATATTTGATACTGAATGAGCACCTTTCATCACTTTGGCAGCTTTGGGTGAAATCAATTGGTCAGCTCTATTTACAGAACACTATAAGATTTTCCAAATTTTTCTCTTTATAATGATGATGTTTATTTATACAGGTCATGATATAGTAGCAAGTTTTAATCTTGAGAAGCCATTTTCTTTGCTGGAAGACAATAGCTTGCAGCTTCAGAATGATATTTTTTATGAGATAAGTGTTCCCACAACCAAAGTAAGTCTATGGGTTCTTTTATCATTGAAATCTCCTTGCATACTACTTCCGCCTGGATCTAATTAGCTTCTTTTAAACCAGGTTGTTATCTTAGATCTCGAACCTTCAGCTGGCTCAAACACAACAAAGGTTGTGTTTGCTGTTGATCCAGAAGTGAAATATTTGAAGATATCTCCAACAGGAGAAAGTTTGGTCAAATCATCTTTTGAATATTTGGTTACAGAACCATCATCTCTACGCCTAACAAAATCCTTGTTTGGACAACCATCCCTCTTTGAGGTCTTAAAGTTCCCAGGAGGAATTACCGTGATTCCTCCACAAAATGCTTTTCTTCTGCAGAAAATGCAAATCCTTTTCAACTTCACCTTGAATTTTTCTATTTATCAAATACAAGCAAATTTTTATGAACTCACAAGTCAGCTGAAATCAGGATTACGCCTGGCACCGTATGAGGTTTGGCAATAGTATTTTTATTTTTTATTCTGCTCTTTGTTGAATTTAACCTAAACACCTACAACATTGCAGATATGTGCTTCTTATCCACCGTAAAAACTTCACCAACTTTAATTTTCTTCACATGGAATCTGATGGGTTTTCTTTTATGGAATGCAGAACTTGTATATAAGGTTATCAAATTCCAATGGCTCTACAGTTGATCCTCCCACTATTGTCACGTCATCTGTCCTCCTGGCAATCGGGAATGCTCCTTCAATGCATAGATTAAAGCAACTGGCTCAAACAATCACAGGCTCTCATTCAAGAAACCTTGGCCTGAATCATACCGTATTTGGTAGGGTTAAGCAAGTTAGTCTCTCATCTATCTTGCAACACTCCCTTAACGGTGGTGATAGTAGCGCCCCGTCGTGGTCCCCTTCTCCTGCCCCTTTACCCCATCACCACCAGAACCACCACCACCACCATCACCACCACCACCATCACCACCACCACCACCACCATCACCACCATCACCATCATGCTAATCTTGCTCCTGCTGTTTCACCTGCTTCATCTACCGAGAATGGTGCACAACACGCTCATGAAGCTGCACCTGCACCTCATAATAATTCACCTGCTCCAAGAAAAAGTTCACCCGCACCTCAAAAGAGTCACGAGGTAGAGCCCCCAAGTTGCCAATTCAGGAATAAAACAACGTTTAGAGGGAAGACTAGACAGGCATCTCATTCAGCTCCTACTGCCAGCCCTAGTATTTCTCCTCACCATTCTTCTTCCTCACCCAAACACCAACACCAAAAGGTGCCATCACCATCACCCACACTCATCTCCCATTCAGTTCCTGTATCCACTCCTTTGCCACATGTAGTATTTGCACATGTTCATCCCCCATCAAAGAGCAAATCAGATGAACAGCATTCAGACAGGGTGCAATCAGTTTCACCATCACCATTAGCATCTTCAAGTGAGTAACGAGTATATTTAGTAATTACAACCTATACAAATTGAATTATTTAATATTTGGATCAGTGCTTGACATTTTACTCTGCTCTTATTTTCATTGCTGATATAAACCATTACGCAGCTTCTGCAGGTCTTCGAGATGTTCAATGGACACTGTCACTCTTATTAGTTATTATATTACACTTATAACATCAAAATGCGGCGCCACATGTTGTCTAGTTATAATTACTTCTCTGGTGTTCGAGGGACGGCAATTTTATACTCGAACAGTCAAACCGAATGCAGCGATAGACTAGAGAAGTTTTGTTAGGAAGAGCAATGCAAAGGGCGTACCTTGCATTCTGAGTGGATATATTTTGTACTCTTGCACTGTGTAAATATTCGATTAAAAAGTGCAGCTGGCTGATGCATTTTCAGGTCAAAGTCATATTAGTGGTGGCAGGCTCTTGATTATGTGAATCGCCGCTCACTTGTGTATTCTCTTATGCAGAAAATGTAAGGGAGATGAACAACAAAATGTATGAAATTGCCTTTTTGGAGTATGTTCATCTTTAGTCCAATCCCCGTGGGAAAAATGTTTGTGTTCCTTCGAAGCAGATTAACTCTCACTTTATGTCAAAACAAAACAAAGCACAAAGTGTTTTGCAATTCAGGTTGAAATGTATTGCAAAACACTAACCATGTGAGATTCTTGATTGCCAGGTGGGTTTTTTTTTATTTAATGGTAGAAGTTTTATTCTCTTAAAAAAAAACTGCAATCTTTATACAAATGATTTATTAGTCTAAATGAAAAGTGTTCCATTATTTTTAAGTAGAATATCGGATTTTCTTGTCAATGAAGAGATGGAGTCCGGGTCAGCTGAAGTAAAAAGAAAAAAAAAAAACGTCAATTCACCATTTTCTCAGTAGAAAAGTGAGGTAGTGTGCGCAAGAAGAGCATTCTCTTCTCCCCAAAAAACCATTTTCTTTTTTGAAGGTTATTCAGGAAAAGATAGTCTGGAACTTCATGTTTCCTCCACTTCTCAAAAGGCCGATATTCTCACACAAAACATTATTGGCTCAGATGCTTCTTAGTGGTGGTGCTGTTTTTGCTTGGACTGTTCCTCTCTACTTTTTTTTGTTTGCCTCATATTCTTCAGTTTGCATATCAAAGGATCTGGATGTTGATTCCAGGTATGAAGGTGGGTTTTTTTGGCTTTTCATTTTTGTTGTCGTAGTCTTTCATCTAATGGGTGCTTGCTCTTCTGTGATGGGCATAAATCTGAATTTTTTTATATTTTATTTTGTGGGTTTTTTAGGATGAATAATATTTCGTTTATTTGGTTGCCAAGAAAATGTGAGAACAGAACAAAATGTAGCAATTTTTTGCTTCATTTATTTCAGATTTTCAATCATATGGTTAAACCATCCGTTGTTCCCCTATATTTGGGGGAAATTATGAGAATTTGTGAAATTTTGGGTATACTGTCTTTTCTATTTTTAGGAAGTGGGTTTAGAAATTCTACATGCAGTTGTTGGCCACCGGCCAGTGATTTCCGCTTTGCCTAATTTACTTAGCGTTGTATAAATCTTTTTTTTACATTTGTTTAACTACTAAGTAATTCAATATTATTATTTTTTTCACTTAAAGTAAAAAATTTTAACTTTAAATTATAAAAGCGAAGCGAGATGAATTAAAAAATAAAAAAAATCATCTCCTATTATTTAAGTTAAAAAAAAACTACTTTGTAAAAATTTTGCTACTCGTCAATTTCAATTTTCAACATACCATTAAAGTCTTCTTTTTCAATTTTGTACATATTAATCATTACTTCATTCTTTAAAAAAACACCTCCCAAAATCCTAACCACTCTCGTAAATAAGGTTACATATGAAATTTTAATTAGTATCAAGTGTATTTTTATGAATCTTTGTAATTTTCTCTGTAATCGTGCCAAGCAAAAGTATGACAAATAAAATGGGCCAATAGTAGTATGATTTTTTATTTTTTATTTTTTGTACATATGATAAATGATGGTAGACTATCCCATCCATCTTTAAGGTTGAATATGATAACTTCAATTTAGAATCTTAAGATTTTCTGTACTGAATCACTCCATAGGGGTGCTCATCTCATTCATTATGATTCCAAATAATGGCTTATTATGGAAAAAGAAAAAATTAAATGCTGCAGGCCATATGCTTGAAGCTTTTTCCAAATAATATGATCACACCATATTTGACAAAAATTAAATACAAATGTAAGGAGTTCTGTATCACAGAATATGCCATAAACAGCTTCTGGATGTCTGAATCATTGACTGCTAATTTCTTCAGTTTTAAGTCGTAACCAGAGTGCAGTCAGGCTGTCTCTCTCTTTACAGATCTTGATACATGGGTG